ATGAAAAATTAACTCATTAATTCAGAAAAACAGAGAAAAAAAAATGTTCTCATGAAAAATTAACTCATTAATTAGGAAAAACAGAGCAAATTTTTTTTCTCATGAAAAATTAACTCATTAATTCAGAAAAACAGAGTAGATTTTTTTTCTTCAAGAATGCAATACGCCTCCGTACACATGGACTAATTTCATGATGTCTTTATTTCCTTTATGGACAAGGACAGTATACCGGACATACATTTACAATAGAGGGACAGAAAGCTAAACCTAAAATATCTTAAACTGTGTTACGAAGATGAACGGAGGTCTTACGAGGCTTGGGACGACGTGAGGGTGAGTCATTAGTGATTAATTTTTGGGTGAACTAACCCTTTAACACGATCCTTTTTACAACACTTAACCTTGGTGTATAAAAACCTGATATTCCATGATAACACCTTTTCATGATGTAAAAAAATGCAGAATGAATCTCTGGAGCGTCAAATGAGGGAGATGGAGGAGAACTTTGGAATGGAGTCATCTAGTTCCCAGGATAACATCGCTCGGCTGGAGGAGGACTTGCGGAGCATGAAGGACGAGATGGGAAGACACCTGCACGAGTATCAGGATTTGCTCAATGTCAAGATGGCCCTGGACATTGAGATCGCCACCTACAGGAAACTTCTAGAAGGGGAGGAGAGCAGGTGAACACTTCACACCTCTTTTAGTGCATTACTGCATGACTTTTTAAAGAGATATTGTTTTATGAAAATGGTTGAAACAACGCGTTTTAATGTTTTATATATTAATTCTACATTTTATTCTCTTGGATGTAGAATTGCTCCCCCTCTTCCAAACTTCTCCTCCTTCAGTCTGAGAGGTAAGACATCAAGTCATCAATAAATAACACTATGATTAAAAAAAAATGTCCATGTGCAGTTTAATTGAAAATGGCATTTTCACAGATATGATGCTCGAGTCCAAGCCCGTTACTGAAAATACATTTACTAAGAAAGTTCTTATTAAGACCATTGAGACCAGAGATGGCCAGGTATGTGCTTAATATCACTGTTATCATTTTTACACACTATTATGGCAAGCCGTTTTAGCTTTTATTCATTTCCAGGATATGAATTCTTGATATCAACAATTACATTTTTTGATATCAACAATTTAATTTACATTGTTATTAGTAGAAATGTGAATTCATGATATCAATAATTAAATTGTCACTAGTTGAAATGTCTATCCTTGATATCAACAATTAAATTTGTACTAGTAAAAATGGTCATTTTTGATATCTGAAAATGTATTTCTGATATCAATATTATTTCAGATATCTAAAATGGCTTTCTTACTAGTAACAATCACATTCATGATATCAGAAATTAGCATTGTCACTAGTAAAAATTGAATTATTGAAATCAAAAATGAACATTGTTACTAGTAACAATTCAATTGTGGATATCAACAATAGACATTTCAACTAACAATTGAATTCTTGATATCAAAAATAAAGGTTTTTACTAGTAATAATTGTATTTCTGATATGTGAAATTGGAATTTCAACCAGTAAGAAATCAATTCTTGATCCAACAATTGGTTTTGAATGGCAGCCTATGGTGACATTTCACTAGTGAAAATACAATTGTTGATATCAAGAATTGAATTGTTGATATCAAGAATTCATATCCTAAACACTGTCATGCGCGAGATGCTGCGAAGGACGAGAACAACAGCCAAACACATCAGTCTAGTGTGTGTTTACATAGAAAAATAATAGAAAAGTAGCGCAGTGGAACCAAAAAACAAAACATGTTTTGTCTTATGCTTATAAAGAATTAAAACGTTTTAAAGCACTTTATTGAAAGTGTGAAAATCAGCGAAATGCTTACTAGGTGTATCTCTAACATGTCTTGATCGCAATTAAATAATGAAATATGCTAAAATATGCTTCAACGTATTTATTTAAATATGTACAGGATTTTATTTCTGTTTTGTAATTCCCATTAATCTCTAATAATCGCCCTTTCTGTTCTTTAAGTTAACCTGAAATCAGATTTTTAAAAAATGATTCTGCTCTTCTCTTCTATTAAGGTGATCAATGAGTCCACTCAGAACCACGATGACCTGGAGTGATGGAGAGAAATCTCTTATTACCCACCAACTGCAGCACATTTTTTTGTATCGCCAGTGTACTAACTTCATCTAATGTGAACAACCCACAATAACTCGCTTTAAAGTGCCTTTTTATCTGCCCAAAAATATACCTTTCAAGTATTTGAGCCTGTAGAGGACCTGTAGTTCTTCTCAGAGTGAGAACACGTGACCTTTAGCGTAAGTTACTGTGAATCGTTTCATTGTCTAAACCTGCTTTTATCTTCCACATAATGTGGCCTAAGGAAAATGCTTCAATAAAAATAATCAAAGAACAGTTTGTATTCTTAAAGAGCCTCATTCTTTGTCTGATTTTTCTTCCATGGAAATTAAAATTTTGACAGTAAAATACTGAATGCTTTTGAAGTGGTTCTTGATTTGAAGCCCGTCACTGCCATCTTGTGGACATTTCTAAGAACAAAAAATACAGTCAAGTCAAGGTTGCATTCTCAAGTCTCCGATTTTGATATACCTTTTCAAAACAGGATGTTTCTCTCTCCGAGGAGCATCCATGTTCACTATTAGTCATTCATGTGGGATAGCATGTGTGTTCCTGTCTGTTTGTTCCAGTGATGGAGACTTGTACTCCCTGGACATGAGTGTTAGCTCCTGTTTCGTTCCCATGTGTGGTGTCATATCTGAACAAATTTTTTAAAGGAATAGCTCAGCTAGAAAGCAAAATCATTTACAAAATGATTTTCTCTCTTCCACGGAAAACAAAAAGGTCATTTTGAAGAATGTCAATGCTTCCTTAATTAAAGGACACATGACTGTGACCAGAGAGCTGTCAAGCTCTAAGAGACAAGACACATAAATGTATAGCCTAGTCCATACAACTCGTGCACTAGCCTTTATAATTTTTCCAAAGCCATGCGATTGCTTTGTGTGATGGAATTTATGAATTCGATTTATGAATAAATTAAAGGGTTAGTTCACCCAAAAATGAAAATTCTGTCAGTATTTACTCACCCTCATGTTGTTCCAACCCCGTAAGACCTTCGTTTATCTTCGGAACACAAATTAAGATATTTAAGATATTAAGATCGCTCCTGCATACAGTCCATAGGCTTCTTGAGGGAATGACACTTGATGGCATCTAAAAGTCATTAAAGACATCGTTAAAATAGTCCAAGTGACTACAGGGGCTCAATCTTAAGTTTATCAAACGACGAGAATACTTTTTGTGCGCCAAAACAAACAAAAATAACGACTTTATTTCAAATATTTACTTGGGCCTAGTCAGTTAACGTAGTGTGATAGCGTAGAGCTACGTCACACGTAGGCTCACTATTGGCCGACGCTGGTCATGTGTGTGATGCGTGTGACGTACAATAACAGAAGCTTACGCTATTAAACTAGTAACCTGACTCGCGCAGAGGGAGAAATAAACGAATAGTTGAAATAAAGTCGTTATTTTTGTTGTTGTTTTTTTGCGCACAAAAAGTGTTCTCGTCGTTTGATAAACTTAAGATTGAGCCCCTGTAGTCACTTGGACTATTTTAACGATGTCTTTAATGACTTTTTTCGAGGCCATCAATTGTCATTCCCTCAAGAAGCCTATGGACTAGTATGCAGGAGTTTCTTAATTTGTATTCCGAAGATGAACGAAGGTCTTACGGGGTTGGAACAACATGAGGGTGAGTAAATACTGACAGAATTTTCATTTTTGGGTGAACTAACCATTTAAGATCCATGGTTAACTTAGAGAAGTTTACATTTTCACTTATTCATACCTTAAAGGTACAGTATAGGCAATTTTCGGAGAAGCTAGCAATAGCAAGCTAGTTTTGAAAGCATAAGATCCCACCCTCCCTCCCAAGCGTCTCCAAAGCACACAAACATGTACAGTAGGGAGCAAACAAAAGCATCAAAATAGGGCGTTATCTCATGTCTAAAAGCTCATAACATTACAATAGGTGTGTTCGACTTGCTGTGAGACCAATCGGTGCATGCCATCAAAGTACCGCGAGAGCAGTCAAACCGGGCTAAAGCGAACAGAGCCATGCCGTGCCGAACCGAGTCGTACTGCACAGTGGAGAAGCGAGCCGAACCGTGCCGCGCCGAACCGTAAAATAGCTCTGACCTGTATCACCTGACAGCTGCAGATTCACTTCGGCGTTGATAGCGTTGCCTTGCCATTGAAACTCATAAATTCGAGTCACGAATTGCTCTGAGTAAAACGTCATGGGTTTCCGTTTCCATCCATGGCGTGAACACAGGATAGGCTCATTGGTTTGCTCCAGGTGGAACTGTAAAAGGTGACATTTATTTGTGGTATGCTGACTGATGAAACACAGCTGCATGGTGCAGGAAAGAATGAAAATACATGTTGACAGGCAGTCGGTCTGATCGGACGAATTTGGTCCTAAGCCTTTCACAGATTATTTAGACCACTTATATAGACTAGTAATTGATATCACGTGAAGAGACAAAAAATGGTTCTGGAAATAATCACCTACCCTGCCTTTAAATTTTTATTTTTAATACAAATTGCTCTTGGTTTTTGAACATGTTGGTCAACCACCAAACTGAACAGTAAATAACCAGGCATCAGGGATGAAAAAGAAAAATAACATTTTACGACATGAAATTATGACATAATGCTTAATATTATGACATATTGCTTAATAATGTCAATTTCCCCTTTATTTCTTATAACTTTAATTGTGAATGTAATTGCATATTCGTAGTTCGACAGTGTCGGATTTCATTAATGCAATACACTTGACAGACTAATTAAAGATGCTTGTTTTCAACGCTCGTGACCCCAGAGACTCGTGTTTGCCAAACTAACTTTATTCGTGTGACGACCGCGCGCATTCTCTCGGGAAAGCGCACGGGAGATTTCCGCTGGTTCCATCGCCTACGTTTGACAAAATGAGTCGCAAATAGACTGAACCGAATAAAAGAAGGTGTTTCATTATCCACGCTCAGAGGACACGTTTTGCCTTGTGCCATAACGTTAGTTCTATGAGGACGAGCCAGCAATGACAGTGTCTGAATCAAAGTCATGGAGTGTGTAACTGTCTTTCCCAAGCAGACGTTCAGTCAGCTGAAGGTTGTTCGGCAGAGATGGGCTCAGTGACCTCAGCTTTCACCAAGTCGCGCAACACGTTGGTCAAAGTGGGTTCGGAGCCGCAGAAAGAGCCGGACTCGAAGCCGCGGACTGGGGCTGGTGTGGTCGTCAAACAGACTAGCAAAGAACCGCTGGTGCAGAAAACAAACTGCACATCCAGAGCAAACACGAGCAAACAGGTTCCTGCATCTGCCACACGTGAGTTAAAGTTTCTGTCATGTTTCATATTCTTATGTAGGACTTTCTAAGAAGTGGATTAAGGCATATAAAGCTGAAATGGCTGGAGAGTTCAATTGATAATTGTTTTTTTGTTTGTTTTTTTGTTGTTTATACAGTAGGCTCAAAAGTAGCCTAGCATTTGGAGTACAATAGCTAAAGTTCATTAGCCTACATTAAATATCAAAATATCAAATCAAAACAAAATAAATATCAAACCATCTTTCCAAGACATTTTTAGTTGTTGTCCATGTCTGTATTCAGAATACAGTTCAAAATGGCTATAGTGTTCTACTCTATTTAGCATGTTTTTAATTGTTTATATTAAAGTTTATGGCTAGGTGGTGTAACTTAAAATCTTTTAAAGCCTGAAAATCTTGATTTAAAAAAAGAGAGAAAAATTGGTGATGCTATTTAGAATATATTCAGAACACAGATCAAACCAAAATGACGTAAATACATTCAATTTCTATACATCAATACATATTCTTTAAATGCATCAAATTTCAATTTCTGAATCTATATCAATTTTTATATTTTTGTGGGGCTTAACGTCAAAAATAGCAAGGAGCTGGTGTAACTTTTTCGGAGATTGTTGTGTAGGCTACTGTATAGGCTTTTAAAGGTTGAAATTCTTTAAAAAATAGAGGAATAATATATTTTTTAAATATTAATGTTAAAAATTCTTCCTCTGCAAAATAAATAAATAAATAAATAAATAGGTTAAATAAATAAAAGTCACACCCTGTGTCCATATATGCCTACTTCTATACAATACAGTGTGCAAAAATTCAATGTCCAAATTCATAGTGTTCATACTCATAAATAATAGAGGAAAAGTAACCAAATGACCTATTTCTGGCGAGATTGTGAATTGCGCATCTGATGGACACTTTACTATCCCATGAGGCTACGGGAGAGAAGTTGTGAATGGCAGTGAAGTGATGCAATGGGCTCTACGCACGGCGGTATTTCCAGTGAAGGTGTAAGGATGCTCGATAACTTCCGCCGATCGTAGAGTCCAATGCAATACCGAGAATTTATATTGAATTTTATACTTCATGGTTATACTAAAGAATATACTTTATTAAATAAATATAACTATATATAAAATTACATCTAAACGTATGTACGTTTCGTTTCAAAGACGGGAGGACAGTAAATATTGAAGACTCTGCCATAATCCCGTTTTCCTCCGCTTTAATCTCCACAACCGGAAATGGACGAGCATCCTTGCGTCAAATGCGGAACTTATGCGTGCATATAGCCCATTGACTTTATGCACAGTTGCACTACTTCCTGAACTTTAGCCAGCTCCTTGTTTCCTGTCTGCCATTATTGGCCAAACTTGATTAATTCAGGTGTGTCTGATTATTGTTGCCATGACTACTGAGGTCAGGCACACCTGAATCAATCAATTTGACCAATAATGGCAGACAGGAAACAAGGAGCTGGCTTAAGTTCAGGAAGTAGTGCAGCTGTGCATAAAGCCAATTGATGTAGGGAGTAGTGGTTTGAGTGGAGATTTCATCGGTTTGGAGTTCAGGAGATTGTCTTGACCAGGACCACACCCCTAAATGCACTGAAGCAACCGCCATGTGATTGGTTGATTAGATAATTGCATAGATGAGAAATTTAACAGGTGTAATCCTTTAGGTGAGTGTGTTTGTATATGTATATAATAATAATAATAATTATTGATGGTTATGTTTTGATATTTAATTTTTTTTAATGTCATTCATATATTTGTAAGTGTAGCTGAAGTGTCCACACTTTTCATCTGCCTCTATTGGGTAATTGTGGAATTTCAGCACATGCCTTTATGAGACGGGTGGGAAACAGGTGTCTGCTTATTTTGGGTCAAAACACGGGTGATGGCATCCATTTATCTGCACATTAGAGAGTTCAGGCACTTCTGTGAAACAGATGAGAAAAACGCTCCATGATGGGATGATCAATGATGCGCCGCCACAATTCTTTTGAAGGGTGCAGATCCGTGTTTTTTATGTCTGAACTGTTTGATGTTAGAATAACACTGTGTCCTGATGCTTTATAAAGCACAAGGGCTTTTCAGAGACGGATTTTTACACAAATCTAAAATGGACATAACCATTCAAGGTTTATTTTTATAATTGCTGTCTACTATTGAAAATGCCAAATGCCTACATTTTTATTTAATAGATTTATTAGAAACACTATCATGCAAATGTTTGGTGTCTGAAAGAATTTAATTGATTTTTGATCTAAATAATATATTTAATCAAAAATAAAGTAAAACATATTGTGAAATATTAGCTGTTTTGTATTTTAATATATTTTAAAATGTAATTTATTTCTGTGGTGGCAAATTTTTATCTGTGTTGAAAACAGGATTATTTGTGGAAATATTTTTGTATAATACTTTTGTGTTTATGTATATAGAATAAAAAGTTCCAAAGTTTAAAGTACAGAATTTATTTAAAATAGAACTCGTATAACATTATAACTGTCACCTTTGATCAATTTAATGCATCTTTGCTGAATGAAAGTATTAAGGGGGTCATGACATAAAACATCAAATTTGCATTGATCTTTTGACATACAAGAGACCATTAAAACATTCCTGCAAATTTCAGAGCTTAAAACGTCCTCCTTGATATAAACAAAGCACTTATTTAATCAAGTCCAAAAAATGGCGTGTTTGGATATTGTGGGATTTGTAACGTCACACGGGCGAATATATTTGCATATTGCCTCCAGAACAAGGCATTGATTCAGAATGAGCGTTGATTATAATTTTTGTCACATTGTGCAAGCAACTTTATCATCATTATAAGTGAACCTTAACCCTTATGCTGCATTTGGGACATTTTTGGTCTTTTGCAGTTTAATTTCTTTGACCATTTTGGCTGTTTTAATGCAAATGGTATGAAATTTGGCAAAATTGTGACTTTTTGGATACATGTAAAAAATGTGATCCCATTTTGCAAAATATGTATAACACACACTGTGTAGATCAAATAGTAACACTCAGCACCATAAAGACCAAAAATGGCCCATTGAAACCCATTAAAACGTTGTTTAAATCGGAGGCTGTCAGTAATACATGAAACATGATTTTTGCACAAACATCCTTTCATTTTGAAGCAAAAGCATTATATTTGCATTATATAGTGTATTCCACCAGATGACGTCACTACATATTTATTCCCTATGGGTGGAAATGCACCTTATTTAGGCAATAGGCAATGTTTAATAGGTGGCCATTTTTGGTCTCTAACGCGCTAAGTGGGATTTTTTGCAAAGTGGGACTGTGATAATCCAAATCTAAAGTTTTCTCTTTGCATTTAGTTTATTGAAAATAATTGAATTTTTGTGTTTTTTCCTCTTATACAAATCAATGGTTTCGCAAACAAACTGGTAATTAAAGGGTTAAAATCCTGAAATTGAATACATTTTTGGTAGTTATGATGAGGACTGATGCTGGTTAAAAGATTTAACTTGGTAAAAGTGGAAAATAATAATAATATATAATATTTTAGGCAATGTTTAATATGTGGCCATTTTTGGTCCTTAATGCACTCAACGGTGTTAAAAATCTAATGCAGCACAAGGGTTAAGGAACATATTAAAATAATAATAAAATTAGGATGACCATATTTTGATTACCAAAAACCAGGACACTCGGCCCGGCAAACTGATACTCAAATGATACTCGAAGTTTACTCAAAGATGCCTTATGCCTCTTTTTTTGTATGGATAGAACATTGTTATATTACAAGACACAAATTCAGATAGGCTTCTCAGAGGTTACTCAACATGTCAGGTTTCAAAAATAAAGATAGAAATAACGTCTCTTCTGTATTAGAAAAATAAATATATAAATAACTAAAAGAAAGACCTCCAAATTCAACAAAAATAGCTCTCATAAACTTACAAAAACGAATCTTTAGTTTTCTTCATCTTTATCCTGTTTTTCCTCCTCATCCTCCTTGTTTGCCCATCTATATTTTTCTGTAGAAACCAGGACATTTTCATCATAAAAAAACAGTCAGGACAGCCCTAGAAAACAGGATCATCATAACAATATATGAAAATAGGTATGATGCGCAACGAAAATAATGTCGTTAAAATCATGAAGTTTTAAAGGATTCAGTTTTCAATATGCCACTTCTCTGTCCCCTTTTCACCTGACCTGTAATAGAGGAAACGACCCTTGAGGGTGACTAAAATATTTCCAGTAGCTCTATGTTTCATGGTTACCATAAACCAGTGACAGTAAAGTCTCCTGCTGTTGGTTGTTCAGGGTTTTCTCCCTCTACAGCGTTGCATCTCTAGAGAGCCACAGGTGGGGAGACACCAACCGACACGGTGATCGAATGTTACTGTACGCTTAGATCAAAACAAAACACAATCAGCTCAGTGTTATATAGAGTTCAGTTAGATGTGCAGTTTGGTGTAATGAGCGTTTTAAGGTGTCCAGAGTCCAATTGTTATGATAGCTGCATTATGTAGCCCGTCAAAACTGAGTCCCGTCTGCATGTCTGAGGATGAGACCGGCACCTGCTATGAATAATTAGGGCTTTGTTATTTAAATATAGAGTGATTTGTCTGAACAGATGGAGCAGAAACACACAGATTGTGACTTGCAGAAGTATGGAGACAACTTAAGACAATATTGGAAAGGCCTTGAAGATATTTATATGCTATAATGACAAAGCTGCTTATTTTCTTAACTGAAAAGTAACTTTTTTATTTACAAAATCTGGGTGTGGCAATACATATATTAAATTAAATAGTTATTAAGCAACAGTTTCTGATGTGTAGCCTAATTATACAAGTTCACTTCAGACAGGTAAACTTTCTCTCAAAATCGTTCAATACTGTTTATGCACGAGTAAGTCAAGCCAGTGACTGAAATATCAACTTCACATCATTTCTTTTAGTAGGATGAAAATAATCTTATTTAAATTCTGAACAAATTATACTGAAAGCGATCAAAG